GCTATTTCCTATCTGCTTCATAGATCAGGTGGGGGTGGAGTCAGGATTTCTAAACAAGTGAGCAGGAGAGTTTGCTGATTGGGCTTGGGATGACCTGGCTGGTGTAACTTGTCCTTGTGGGCAGAGCCTTTTTTTTAAGCAAAAACATAAGCGCAAAAAACAAAGATGGAGCGCCTCAGGAGGCTGAGGCAGGAGAACCAGGAGCTCAAAGCCAGCCTCAGGAAAAGTGAGGCTCTAACAACTCAGTGAGACCCTGTCTCTAAATAAAATACAAAATAGGGCTGGGGTTGTGGCTTGGCCATAGATCGCTCGCCTCGAATGTGTAAGAGACCCTGGGTTGGATCCTCAGCATCACATAAAAATAAATAAACAAAAGGTATTGTGTCCATGTATAACTAAAAATAATAATAATAAAATAGAGTTGGGGATGTGGCCTAGAGGATGTGGCCCCTGAATTCAATCCCTGGTACCTCCCCCCACCCCACCCCCCAAAAACAACCCTAGAGATGATATGTGGGGATACAGCGTGTCTGTGGGAGGACTGAAAGGCAGCTAGCTTTAGAGCCAGGGAGAAAGGGAGACCTGAAGATAGTCACTGGCTGCCAAGAGGCCTGACTGTCCCTTCCTCCCACCACCACCACCACAGAGTCACCACAACCTCTGCACTAGGCTCCTTTCTCACTCTAGGTTCCTGAGCCATGAGGGTTCAGGAAAAGCTCCTCTCAGGAGGGGGCAGAGAGGTGCTGGTTCTGTTTCCAGCACAGAGCACTGGACCTGACTCAGTACAGCCCAGTTAATGTTGGAGGGAAGGTGGGTGGCACAGAACCCTCCTAGGCAGTCCCAGACTAGAAACCATAGAGGACTAGAAACCACAGAGGAGTCCAACGTTAAACTAGGAATAGAAGGTGTCACCGGGACCAGTGAATATCCTTCACAAGAGACTTTTTTTTTGGTCTTACTCTCCCAACTGCCTTGCTCTGGGCAAGTCCTGGCAAAGCAGTCAGTTAAATGACTCATTGACTTGCTAATGAGATTGCTCCCGGGCCCTTTAAAGGAGACTTTCAAAAGAGATGCCCCAAGGAAAGAAAACAAGCTTAGCCAAATGTGAATACCTGTTGAAATCTGTGGTATTTGGAGTTCATTGCAATATTCTTACTTTTCTGGATATTTGAAAATGTTAATGATAAAATTTTAAAATGTAAATATATAGGGGTGAGCTCAGTGGTACATGCCTGTAATCCCAAGGACTCAGAAGGCTGCTGAAGGAGGACTGTAAATTCAAGGTGAGCCTCAGCAACTTGTGGAGACCCTGTCTCAAAACATAAAAAAATAGGGGCTGGGGTTCTGGCTCAGTGGTAGAGGGTTTGCCCCACCTGTGTGAGGCACTGGGCTCAATTTTCAGCACCACATATAAATAAATGAGTAAAATAAAGGTTCATTCCAGCAGCTTGGGAGGCTGAGCCAGGGGAAAAAAAAAGCCAGCCTCAGCAACTTAAGGAGGCCCTAAACAACTCAGCAAGACCCTGTCTTTAAAATAAAATGCCAAAAAAGGGCTAGAGATGTGGGCAGTGGTTAAGTGCCCCTGGGTTCAATCCCAGGTACCAAAAACCAAACAAAGTTATTTTCATAAAAGGGTATAGGATGTAGCTAAGTGGTAGAGTGCTTGCATTACATGCATATGCTTAAGGCCGGGTTCAAGCCCCAGTGGGGAAGGGGAAGGGATGGCAGTGAAGAAATGGGCAAGGACACAAAGATGCCTCCAGGAATTTAAGCCAATTTTTCCTGACTCAGGAGCCTGTTTCCTTAATTCTGACATTTCCAATGCTTTATCATTATTTTCTGTCATTTTTTTTTGGTAAACTTTTTTTTTTTTAAAGAGAGAGTGAGAGAGGA